AGTGGAGGAGTTCCCGCCACATGCCCTCCCCAGTGCTCTGGCTGGTGACCTCGACAACATCGCCGTTGCTCTCTTCAGGGATGCCGGCAGCCTCCTTGATCTCGGCGAGCAGAAGTGTGGCCTCCTCCTCAGAGTTGGAGATCTGAGTGAGGGTGCGCTTCGCGTCGCCTGGGCGGCCTTGCATGACGAGCCAGCAGGGAGATTCTGGCATGGTGAAAACCCCCATAACGAGCAGGCCCAAGGTGATTCCTCCCACATAGAGCAGGACATGCCACCTGATGTCGGAGCGTAACCTGAAGAAGAAATAGTGGGAGATGTACCCGAGAAGGGTGCCCATGTTGATGAATAACTAAACCACTAAAACACGTATAAAAAAATCAATCACCTTCCTTTAACTTCAATTTTCTAACCTTAGTTTTTCATCCAACAAAAATTGTTGATAAATTAAAAATAAAAAAATAAAAATATGCTACCAAATTAGGAAAAAAAAAGGAAAAGAAATGAGTACCTCCGGGAAGGAGGTGAGCAAGCTGCGGTAGAGAGCAGGAGAGATCTCGACGATGTAGACAGAAGCGATAATGAGGGCATAGCCGACACCAATATTGGTGATGAGGCGGCCCAACATTAGGAATTATAAGTTGGGCACAATGCCCATGAGGAGGGCCTGGGAAAGAAAGGAATGGAGAGGGCTCAGGCAGGGCGGGCCGGATCAAACCAACCCGATTCTTTCTCTCTCTTTTTTTGAAATTTTTAATTATATATATTTTTATTTTTTATAAAGAAAAATATGTTCAAATAGACCCTATTAATGCAAATGCAGCTAATACCTATATGACATGCAATTTAATAAAAATATTTTTTTGGGGGGTTAAAACTTAATCTCTAATTTTCTATGCAATTAAACCCTAAATGACTAGGCAAAATTTAGGTATCAACACCGTACACTTTTTTTAGAAGGACTTATGGTTAAAGGATTCCTCAAGGTGTACATGCTCAAAGCAAATACACTTAATTTAGTGATTTTGGTATAGTTATTTGCAAAATATCTTTAAAGTCACAAAGGAAAAGAAAGACAAATCAATATTTGGTGATTTGCATGCGCCATGTCATGTGGTGATGTGACGTGCATTAATATGAGTTGGCACAATTGAATATTGACACACGTCTTGATTAGGAAAAAATTAAAAATACAGATTTTCTCTCTTCGTCTCCATCATAGCCACCGTCTCTTCGGCCACCGGAGAATCCACCGCCCAACTCAACCATGTCCTCCATCTCCATCCACCGCTCAAGGGTGCTGTGACCTCCATTTTGGACACCTACCTGCCCACCATTGTGGTGTCCCCCTTCCATCGTCCTCCTTCAATTTCTCTCTGGCGCAGCCACGACAAACCTGGAACCATGGAGCCATGCCCACGATAGACCTTGAAGCCATGGCCACATCCAGATCTGGAATTGTGCGGAGCCATGGACGAGACAGACCCTGGAGCCATGGCCATGACAGACCTTGGAACATGATCGCGTTTGGGTTAGATTAAGCAAGAAGATGGGAACTTTCATATTTGGAACCGTGGAGACCTTGGAGCCATGGCCACGATCTGCAACTCCGACCACAAAGACGACGAGAACGGTTCAACACCCGGCAGTGGTCACCGTAGATACGGTGCCGGCAACTCCGCCGTGGCCGCAACAGACCTTGCAACTATGGTTGTGACAGAACTTGGAGAATGATCTCGTCCGAGTCAAATTTGGAGGCACCGCCATGGACGAGCAAGGACGACGGGGACTTTCAGATCTGGAACCACGGAGCCATGGCCTCGTCCAATTCTAAAACCACGTAGAGCCATGGCCACAATCTAGAATTCCGACCACAAAAACGACAGAGATAGTTTAACGCCTTGCAGTGGTCACCTTAGACACAGCGCCGGCAACTCCACTGGTGGTGACGGCGGAGGGATGGTGGCCACGTAGATGGAGAAGGAAGTGTAAATGGAGGAGAAAAAGTGAGGTGGGAGGAAATTTTTTATTTTGTTCATCTAAATCCATGTCAATATATACGTGTCTATACGTGATTGGCTCGAAGTGGAAAAATGCATTCCATGTTAGCAATTGACTTGGCGTTTGCGAATCATTGAATATTTCCTAAAAAAATGGGAGTATCTAAGTCAAAAGTGAGGTGGAAAAAGCCAGACCCACCCGTTAAGCCAAAGTACAGAGATTATTAGTGTCCTTTTCCAAAATAAAAATCAGTAAGTCATTTAAGTAGCTTTCTTTAGAGAATGTTTGAAGCTAGAGTTGATGAAGTCTAGCATTTGCCATTAGCCCATTTGCATTAGTTTAAAAGTGGGAAAATGACATAAATGGTCATTGAATTTTGGCCTAATGTATAATGTGATTCTGAACTTTTAATTTATTCAATGTAGTATCGGAATTGTTGCGTAATGTGCAACGCGATCTTTAAATTTTTTATACACGTTCAACTTAGTTTCTAAATTACATGAACGTGTTGAATGTTGCCCTTGAACTTGAATTAATGGAAGGACAACATTGAATATTTTCATATAGTTCGAGGACCAAGTTCAACGTGTACCAAAAGTCCTAAGACTACATTGAACAAATAAAAATTCAAGGATCACATTACATATTTGACAAAAATTCAAATGCCATAATGACCAAATTTAAAGTTCACGGACCACATTACACATTAGGCTACAATTCATGACAATTTGTGTCATTATCTTATTAAAAGCCGACCTTTGGCATTCCTTTTCAAAATTTTAATTAAAAAAGCTGATAAAAAAATATTAAAAACATTATGAAAAATAACTTATGCGAAACTGCAAAATCAATACTGGTATATTTTGAAAGGTTTCTAATTTTGTTACTTGGCAAAGCTGGCGCCTGTTTGCTGTATTCTTTTAAAAAAGCAAATAGGAAAAGGTACAAATTATTTTTGATAGAATTGATTTTAACAAAACAATGGACCGCTTGACGTGTGTTCTGTTTAAGCCGTTCAAAGTGCACGACCAAACCAGCAGACCCATCAAAACTTTGATTTGGTACATTTTCCCCGAGCAATGCGACGAATCTGCAACTAGAGGCGGCTTATTAGACCTAAGTCCGGGCGACAAAGGAAGAGATGTGATCCAAACATTATATATATGGGAATGAATGGTGCACATCAAGCGGTTTGAAAAGTCGATGCTCCAAAGTTAGCCCAAGAAATTCCCATTCACAAGGACAGTCACGATTAATGAAGAAATATTCAATCTAGTCGCTGAATTTTCAACTTGTTCAATCTAGTCAATTTAACTTATCATAACAAAGTTAAATCGGTTACTCGATATTATGTAATTATACTGTTATCCAGATTTTAGAATATCTTTTCATTTCAATCCATTTCCTGAATCAACGAAAAATATGCTATCTTTTTATTACTATCTTACCTTTTTGGTTGTTATAAATATTACGATAGTTTTATTTAAGTATATTGTAAATTATGATCTCAATATCCGTACGAGTAAAACTTCATTTAGAGTCATATTAGGTTGACATTGCTTCAATTTTTCTTTGAAAATTGGGATGTAGGTTTTTCGTGGGCAGTGATTATTTTTTTCACACACCAATCTTTTCTCAAATTTTTCTTCAGCCCGGACAAATTTCTTTTACTCTTTTCCCCAACTCTTCTTTGTATTCCTTTTCCCTCTCCTACATTTTTCCAAAAAAAGAAACCTTGTAAAGTATTTTTCGACCAAAAATAAATAAATAAATAAAGTATTCAAGTTTTGTCCTTCCTTTTCTATTGCTGGAAACTGATATTTTGCGTGGGCCGGCAATTTATAATAGGAATTAACAGTCTTATACAAGATTACACGGCAAACCCGAAAGCAATACGAATTTAATTTACACAAGGTTTCTTTTTTTGGTCATAATATACTTAAGGTTGAATAATAAATAAAAAATACACTGTTTTTCAACAAAGCAATTTGACATGATTATAAAACCTAATAATGATACGTGAACAATTACGAGTGCTCATTTTAATTCACTCTTAAAGTGGATCATAGATTCACCACGGGCTGACACGTGTCTTCAAACTCTATTTTCATTTATTTGAAATACTACCTAAATGATATTAATTACTATCTTGAAATTCTAAGGGTTAATACCATGAAAAATCCTAAACTGGTATACCTATGATAAATTTATCCAAAACTAATTTTTTGACCACAAAAAACCTTAAACTGGTACACTTATAACAAATTTATCCTCCGTTAGTTCGTGGCAATTGACCGATGCACAAGTTTGAGATTTTACTCTTCGTTTGTCACGTGTGTACTAGTTTGCGATTTTTTTGCATTAATCCAATTTAAACGGAGGGTAAATTTGTCATAAATGTACCAGTTTGGAATTTTTGGTAGTTAAAAAATTAATTTGCGGTAAATTTATCACAGATGTACTAGTTTATGGTTTTTGGTGATTAAAAAATTAGTTTATGGTAAATTTGTCACATGTGTACCAGTTTGGAGTTTTTGGTGGTCAAAAAATTAGTTTGTAGTAATTTTGTCGCAGATGTACTAGTTTAGGATTTTTCGTGGTATTAACCAAATTCTAAAACAAGATTTTATGAAAAACCAAAATACCACAGAATGCGTTCGATACGACGACGGATTAACAGCACAGAACCACGTTCCTCCCCCCGCCATATTCAGGACAAACGAATCAAAGCCCGACAAGCAAGTCGCTCGCCGTACACGTGTCGGCATCCCAGCGCTCGGAGCACACGTGGACCAATCAGGCGGCCTAAACTGATCGGATCTCCCAACGCGCTCTCGTCCACGAATTCTGATATCGCATCGAACACCCGGCCTCCCGCTCCCGAGCTCGCCGCCACGTGGCGCTCCCTCCGTGACTCCTTTTATTTGACCAAACTAAAAATAAATAAAAAAACATTTTTTATTGGCACTACTCGTTGAGTGCTTTGGTTCACAAGCAGAGAGAGAGAGAGAGAGAGAGAGAGAAAGAAAGAAGAAGAGCTCCGGAACCTCCCAGAAGATCAGTTTTAACCATCGTCGAGCTCGAATTCTAGGGTTTCTAGTGCTGAATCGAGCTTCGTGCCGGTGGGATTTTCGCCGGCTCGGCGGCGTCGGATCCCTCGTTTCGGCGGAGGGACTGGAGCTTTGAGGTGAGCTTTCGGTTTCAGATCTGTGTTCGATGAGGTTTTTGGGTATTTGGAGGTTCGAGGAGCTGTGGGGGAAGAAGGAGGAGGTGGAGAGAAGGGCTGTTTGAGCTGAAGTAGTTCGTGCTTCGAGCTGTGTTCGCGTGCGCCTGTTCCGGTTTGGGAGTTTGGTGGATGTTGAGGATTGGAAAAGGTCTCGATTTAGCTGAAAACTCGGCGGAAGCAGGATTAGGGGGGGAGTATAGCTAGAATTAGAAGCGGAAAAAGCTGGCCTTGCGTGATTGAGCTGATCGGCTACGTTGTTTGGGCGCTACTTGTGCTCGCGGATTTTGGTCCTGTTTTGTCTGCAAAGTAGAAAAAAGGCTATGGTTTTGTCAGGGAGGATTTTGGTAGATGGTTAGGTGCAGTGGAGGCGTCGATTTTTTGTATTGGAATTTGAATGAGTTTGTGATAGTAAAAACCGAGCTGAAGTTCAGCTCAAGAAGAATTTTTTTTGATGGTGGAGTGGAGCTGGAGGATGTTGACAAATGAAGAATGAACCTTCTTGCTGTGTGACATTATGTTTGAGTTTTTTTATGAGGAACGATGTCGCTGCAGTTTGCTTTGGTGATTGAGTGAGGATATGCTCAATTTTTGTCTGATGTGACTAACTGGAATTGTTAAGTGGAGTTTTTCTGCTTTAAACAGAGTCCAACTTGATTACATGTAATTTTTGTTGTATAGTGAAAATAGAATTTACGTTTAGATGGTTTTGTCTGCATATTTCCTGTGTACTTTAATTGTACTAAATCTTATCAATACAATTATAATACTTTGAAAACTAGCTGAAAGTCGTTACCCTTACTTCTTTATTTGATTTTCATCTTCTGCGAGTTCTTATACTGTGTGCAGAGCTTGAAGGTGGGATTCTTCATGCGCTGTTTCTTTTAGCTTTAATATACTGATAGGCACCTATGCATTTTTTTAATTTTTGACTGGCGGTTGCTTGTCATTGATAGCTCTAATTAATGATTAGGCAAATCAAACAATTGTTATGTGCTAGGAACCCGGGAAAGATGTAATTTCTGCGTAGTGCTGCAATGGCTTCAACTTGTGTGCTTGTGCGACGATTACTTATTTGATAGGAATTTAGCTGGGTAATTGAATTAAAATCCTGCCTTGATATATCTGCCTGGCACCGTTTCTTTTAGTTGCCCTTATACACCATTTTTAATGGTCGATTTTGTTTGCAGAAAAGTGCGTGCGGAGAGAGGAATTTGGCCAAAAAATATGAAATTGGATCGTCCAGCTAAATTTGTATTCGGTGGCGGGTAAAAGATCTCAAAGGAATGTCAGACTTGTGCATCTATGAGGTGGGAATTCAGTATTTTTAGTTGAACATTCATGATTTATGTGATTACTTATGCATTTGATACATGGACCATTGTGATCTTTGGATGATTGAGAAATAGACGAGGTCAGTGGGAGTAACATTATCCTGCTCGAGCTACAAATTAGCTTTGTGTCTTGACTGTTATGGCCACTGGTCAGTTTGGTGACTACAAGCTAATGCACAGATATTTAAAATATGACCACGAAGTTAAAGAAGCCAATGCTAACCCGATGTAACTTAGCTGTTACTCAAATTTTTCAACCAATTTAGCATTTACACATTTGATTTGGCCTCATTAGGATTGATGAGTTTTTCGTAAAATTGTTAAACCATCCATCAGTCCAGACCAGAGTGTAGCCATGTTAGATAGATTGTAGTCGTACTAATAGATAAAGAAAGAATAGCCACTTTAGAGTATTTGACTCTAGCAAATACTAGCAAGTATCTTTCGTTATTGGCCTGCCTCTTCCAATGCAGTCTTATTTAGGCTGGATTCTCATCATTACTGCACTTAATAAGGCTTCTGAGGCATCTTATTCCATTTTGCCAATTGACTATGGGAGATTAGAAAATTTGAAGTTATATATTCAGCTAATTTTAAATGTTTTAATAAAGCTAACATTGCCACTATAACTATTATGCCTTTATGCCACATTATACTTTTGTAGTATGTTATTGTTGGTCATTGTTTGACATTCTCTTTTCATTATCCTACAAATGTTGTCCTTTCAATTTCATGTTGAATTTCTATGGTAGAAAGAAACATTGATTTGTCTGCCCCCTTTTATGAGTCATTCAGCTTGAGGTCCTCTCTCATTTATGAGTGGATGTGCGAGAAATTTTTATTTATCCGAAAGAAAGAAGCACAAGCCCCAGTCATGATAAAAGATTCACTGAATACCACACCTAGTACACTGTTGCACATGAAAAACACTAGCTATTTATTATGTAATTTATTGGAATACATTAGTTGAAATCTAACATTGTGGACAATCTTTGTACAAACAGTATCCTGAGAGAACAATAGATCAGGCAACTTCTCTTCTGAGCCATGTCGGCGAATGTTATCGATATGCCCTTGTCGCGTTATTTCTGAAGCATGATAATCAGGACCTCCTGTCAATGATGAAGACTAGTTAAGGGATAGAGATCTCCCTAATAGTTTATGTAGCAATACCAATAGAAATAAGGATCCTTACAGCAAAGATTTTAAAAAATGGGACCACATTCGCCTTTTCTAACAGATCCATCTTAAAATCAAAGTCATTTTTGAGTCATGGACCATTTTTATGTTGAGTTTATGCAAGATGCCTAATCTTCTCTTCTAGGTGTAAAAGTTTTCCGACTTGAGAGTGATGAGATTCACATATGTCTTTTCTCCTCGATAAAGGCAATTTGGAGTTATTTAGCAACTGTCCCCGTAATCTACTTAATCTTGCACTCGGTATCTTAGCCTATGCTCTCCGTCCTTAACTTTTTCAGATTGATGGTGATTAAAATATTTTGGACACCCCACTGGAAAGAAACTTGTGGACGAAAAATGCGCAAATTTTTTTTGTTCTTTCTAACTAGGCTAGAAGAAAGAAAGAGAGACTGCCTATCTTGGAGCACCATGCTATTACAGAACTCTTTCACTGCCAAAACTTTGTCCTCAGAGAGCTCTGACCTGGCTGCGATAGCATGACATAAAAGGGGAAATCTATCCATTTTAGCTTGAACATCCATGACTTTCATTAAAAATAAGACAGGCAATATGCCACTTATAATGTACCTAGAAAAGCAACAGCATGCGGCAGCACGTCAGAGAACCTGTACCTTATCTGCCATCCATTTTCCACATTGGATTTGTAGGACTGGGTTGCCATATACTACTAAATAGAGGCTTGACATCTAATTGCTGTTCAGAAGGAACGTATGTTGCATCATAGACGTTGAATAATTCAAATAACAGATGAGTTTTTTGCCGACGCGAAGGTATATGTGTTTGAGTATGTTACTTAAACTTTCATGGTAGTCTGGCAATGATAATCGTTTGATAACCATAAGGATAAACCAAAAAAACATATTTCACGATTATCTTGCTACGTCAGTTTTGCTTCTAGTGCCTTTCTGGATGTTCTGGTTTTGCACTACGGTTACCTCAGATGTTTAAATCTTGAATTGATTCATCAGTTTTCATTTAAATGTAAAGACACTCAGATTTGCAGGCTTATCTTATTTATTTCTTACGTTCTTAAGTAGTCATTGTGATTCATGACTTTGTTAGCTGGCTTTGTTTATACGAAACAAGAAATGGCAGCAAGACAAATTCATGTACTCATAACATCTAACCATAGCTTCTTACTGGATGCATGACTTTTAACTCCAAATGCTCTCTCTCCTTGAGGTTGAGGATGTGATTTTGTGAGTTAAGATATTCAACTTCACTATATTCTCTTGAAATAGCAACACTGTTTTCTCTAATTTTGTCTGTCCAGTATGAATTTTCTGGCAACTGGATTTGGTCTTAGCTAATTATTATCATGAATACAGCTTCAAGACAATGTGTGGGATGAATTTGGTGAGAGTGATGACCATATAGTACCCCATCCTGCTGATGAAGCCAAGGATCAGTGTCTAGTTCAGAGTGATAGCCGCAAGAAACTCCGTCTTCAAGTAACTGGGATCACTAGTAATGCTGACAGCGGGGCTAACTCTGTTGTTTTGGGAAGGAAAGAAACAAATCCAGAGACTCTGACCAAGAAGGAGAAAATGCTGGAAAAGGATGCATGGTCTCACACACCTGATGGCATGTTTCCTGCTTCATGTGATAACCTGTCTTCAAAAGAAGTTAGAAATGTGGCATCTGATGATTCAAGAATGTCTGCACACTGTTTCAAAGGCAGCGCCGATGGTGTTTTTTGTGCTGATGATCATGTTATTGATGAGAGATGTGCAGCAGTCGACAATAACATGTACAGTTATTCTCTCAACCATATTTCTCCAACAGAGACTAATCTCAACTTTTTCAATCATGAAGACAAAGAAAGCAATGATCTATACTACGGATGGCCTGATATAGGGAATTTTGAAGATGTTGACAAAATGTTCAGGTAAACGTTGAACCTAGTGGTACTTTCTCACAATGTTTACAATTACTCTTTGAGCATCTATCCTGACATCAGTTCTTTCAGGAGCTGTGATTCCACATTTGGAGTTGGAAGTCTGAGTAACGATGATGATTTGGGCTGGTTCTCAATCTCTGAGGCTATTGAAGGATCTGAAGATGCTATAAAATCCGAGTTCGAATTTTCATGCTCAGATTCGAAAGTAGTTAACAGAGCATCAGAAACTCGTGGGAATTCTTTGCCACATGGCTATGCCCTTTCACACAATGATACCAAGAAGAAAAGTGCAACCATGTGTGACAATTTAAGCATGCAGGTTAACGGTTCCGGTGAAACTGGTGCTCTTGGTCACACATCATCTATGAATGGGTCAGGTGCACAATCTGAAAGTAAGGAAGACTCGATGAGTGAAAAAGAGGTTGTAAAATTCTACGGGTTTTTACTTATTATCAATATGATTTTTATTGGTGAGGTTACTCCATATATCTATGTTTGAATGTGTTCCATGGTTAGTTAGTTTACTACAGTTGAAATTCAGGGTGCACCTAGCTGCATGGCTATGCTGTGCTGATACTTGAGATTAGGGTTTCTAAAATATGACATGAACTGAACTTTGAGAGAGACAGCAGATCATCACCTTCTCACTTGTAGCCCATGTATTCATCACGCCGCTGCTTTTTTTGACAGAACTCTGTGCGCGCTAGTGCATTTAATTTTTCAATTTTTCCAGTTTCACTTGATTCTTGCATGAGTGAAATGGTTATGATTGTCTAATAATGATCAAATATCAAAACCCTTACTAGGATTCTTCTCGGAGCTTCCTTCTGTCCTTCCCATTGGTTTATAAGCTTGTGTCAGGTTCCAACTTTTGGGGTGACCAGCACTAGAATGTTCATTGTCACCCAAGTTTCTCTCTCTTATTTGAACAGTGCAACTAAAACTTGCCATTTTTTGTCTGCCTTTTTACTATGTTCTTGCTTTGTCTCAAATGCACAGAAATCTGTCAGTGTGTTTTTTACTTTTTTTATTCGTGGTTTTTATAAATGATATGTATTATGACTTTGCGCCTTGTTTTTTCTGCGGCACACACCTACACATAGTAGGATATGTAGAAATTACACTAACTTGAGGTTTTTCTTAAGTATTGAGCCAAAGAAGAACAAATGTTTATTTTAGAATAAAGCCTTGTGTGTTGCTAAGCATTAGATACTGCTCTAGTGAAGCAGTTTGTGATTAACAACCTCATTTTATTTGAAGAAATTTTACACAAGCCTGCTAAAAATGTGAAATTTTTCTTTTTGTTCCTTCAGTATGTATCTTTGGCCTTTATGATTACATTACCTTGTAAATTCGAATACAATGTTTCCTTGGAATTTGGGCATTGTACAATTGTTGGTCTTGCACTTATACTTTATTGCTGGTCTTTACAAAAATGTTCTTATTTAAATTCTCTGTTACGTGACAGATGAATAAGCACAAAAAGCAGTCAAACCTTCAAAAGCAATCAGAATTAAAAAGGAAAGACAGATACCTAGAAAATGGTGGTTCTTTCGGACATCATAGTCTCCTAGATCAATTTCCTCATGTGGAAGTTCCCTTTTCTGACTCATCCAACCAGGTTGATTCTCCTCACATTTCGTAACATTTGACAATAGATTAGGATCTAATTCTTTGATACATCTGCAGATGCATAATGAATACATGCACTCGGGCTACTTTCATCATGTTAACCAAGTCTCAGGATGCTCAACTTTATCTAGTGTAAAGTCTGATGACCAGCTATCTCCTACTCCAAAGGAATCTTCTTATTCGTCAAATCAGGTGCATTCCATTGAAAGTTCCAATTATTGTAATTTTGGGCCTCAATTTATGGCAATGATGACATTGATAGGAGAGGAAAGCATATGACTGCCGAATTTTACAGGTCTCTTTGGCTAGGAACTTTAATCCCGCGGATGTGACAAGTCCAAATGCATCAATCTGTGACCCAGATGCTGTTCTGAAAAGTCTGCATCCAAATGAAAATGGAATAGAAAGTCACAGTAATGGTGAAGTCAGCCTAGCTGTACCAGCAGATATGGACTCTTCCCTGGTGCAAGAAAGCTCTTGCATGAGCTCTGCATTGGATGAAATTTCATTAGAAGCAGCCAGCTTTCGTCAACTTCAACGAGTCATGGAGCAGGTGATATGCTCCGCTAGTCTCAATTTCAATCTTTCTGGGGTCCAGTTATTACTTTAGACACCACATCTAAGAAATCTGCATTGATGCATGTTGTGTTCACAAACCTTTTTGTGCACTTGCTTGTATTGTATGATGAAAGAGGAAATGAGTGTTGCTTTCCTATTAGAATTTGGGCAGATCATAGGGGAACAACTGGTATATTGAAAGAGCATAATTGGAATACATTTTTATCTTGAATCTTCTTGCCAAGGAGAAAAAATTGTCTGGTGGCTTGATGCTGACTCAATAATGCTAGGGAACGACCACTTAAGCAGATCCAGGGCAGCCTTTCCAGTTGATTGTGTCTTGGGGTTCTCCTTTTAGTACATTATTAATGACACAATTTATTGTCACAGCATTATTCATTTGACTTGTAAACTGGCCTTCTTCTTCAAGACGAGTGAGAGGCTTTGCTATTTTATATTTTTGGACTCTCTATGATTATTATTGCGTGTTTCTTCTAGTTTACAATGAGTCGAACAAATAAGCACAATCTTCCAGTCAGTAGATAAAGCAGATCCAAGTGAGAGGATGTAGAATCTAAAAGGATAAGTTTTCTATATATTGGATGGATCGGTGACTTTCAATTTGGCTTACGTGTAGCTTGAAACTATCCATTGATGGGCCTCAACTATGGTACTTTTTGCTTGTTGTCTTAGTGTAGATCACATGTTATATTCTTCCTGTGCATTGAGCATTGAATACTGATTCACAAAACTGAAACTCTGTCCCCACTTTTACGGATATGATTCTTTCTTTGTCTGAGGTTCTATTCTTTTGATTCATTTCATAGAGTTTGCTTCTTCTTTTATTTCCTTCTTCCTGAGGGATGACTGCTTCTAGTACCATTCTTAAGTTATAGCCAATAGAAGGTCTACTGACTGTATCATTCTAGTCATTTTGAACTTGTGGATGTTCCAACCCTATAGAGAAGCTTAATTTTGTTACTATTTCTGCACAAAGTATTGATATAAAGGAGAGTAATCACGGTAAAATAAGTTGTATTCCAATGTTCCGTTACCACTCCAGCTATGCGAAGTGTTATCATTCTATCGTGGCATATATTTCAATGCTGGCTCTTCAAGATTAGGAGAAAAGGGATCCTGCTAGGTTCTTTGGTCCTTCTCAATGGTCTGACGTGTTCTTTTCTCTGAAAAAGAGCATCTTCAGATTGAACACTTCCTCTGGAAATGGGATATTTCCTGTGATGTTGGAGCAATGTTACATAGGACCATTGGAGGAGTTAGTTGAGGAATATTTGCAATGCACCTAGAAAGTTGGCTTTCATTTTGGTGGATCAGTCTTCCGCGTTTTTCTCCTTATGCTTTTGTGTGTAGAAAGCCATCTTTTTTTGTCAATTGTTTAGAAGGGTCCATATACTGTGGATGAATTTACCTGGGGAAAGTACATGTGTTTCCGGTTGAGGATAGATGAGAGACTCGTTAGGGATGATTTTGTCACATTGGATATATGCCTTTGGATGCTCCATTGATGAGATGTGATCAGAGGAGGGAGATCTGGGTAAGAGGGCTAAGGGAAGGCACAAAAAAAATATGAAACCAGACGATAAGGAAAGATATACAGCACCTAGAACTTACAGAGGGCTTCATGTAGAATTTATTAGCCCAATGTCATGAAAAGATTTATATGGACGACCGAACCTAGAGCGATAAAGGTTAATTAGTGTTGTTGTCCATGTAAGTTCATTTGCTCTTTGTTTTTCATAGCTATAATATACTCTTTGTTTTGTACATGTCTTGACTATTGTTTTCAATATGCAATTTCTTTATGTTGTTAAACCTTCACTTTGATTCATAGACATAGGGTCTCTTTGAATAAACTTTTGCCATTGCACTCTCTGCTTTTGTGGCAGTGCAATTTTTACCGATAACTTATTTCTCTCTCAGTTGGATATCAAGACGAAGCTTTGCATAAGGGATAGTCTGTACCGGTTAGCAAGGAGTGCTGAACAGAGGCATAATGGTGTGATTCCTATCATTGATAGCAAAAATGATGGGGCTCATAGTGGAGTAATGACTGCTGAAGAAACAAACAAGTAAGCATAAACATCACAGCGTCTTTTCTGAGTTTTTCCTTAACATGCTGTTGGCAAGTCTTGATTAGATAGATTAAACACTGATTCTTGTTTGGCACCATACAAAACCTCAGTCAATCCTTTGACAAGACCAATATGCCTGGTTATTAAGCAATGGCATCTGTAAATTGGTCCTTCATTCTACTTGTGCAATTTATTTAGAAAGTTATAATCTCTTATGATGGTCTAATATGTAACTAAACTGGAAAATTCCAACCTCCATAGTAAGTCCGATATCACAAAATGTGAGGAGGTTCAATATACCTTTCTTGGGGGTGAAAGGCTGATGCAAAAACCTATATACAAACTCACATTTCTCTCCTAATATTGTTAAATTCTAGTAGTTTAAGTTCTCTGCTTAACTCCTGTCAAAAACAAGACAATGAAACAATCAAATAGACTATGTGAGTTTCCTTTTACTGCAAAATAGATCATATAGTTGGTGTTCCTTGTTTGATATATGATTGAGAACATTCAGTGCCTATAGTCACGTGAATCGCATGTGGCTGGGAGCTCGTCTGAAGTAGTCGTTGAAACAAGTTTACCCGGTTTGGATTGGACGGAGAAGGAAAGCAGTTCACAGCTACATTGTTTATCCTGCATACAAAACATAGAAAGGAAATGCCAGTAGAAATATTAGAAACCCACATTCTTCAAGAATATCTGATCGATACACTTCATTTTAATTTCAGTATTTAACTTTTTCTAGACTAAAAGGTTTTTTAGCAATACAAAGTTTTTGTTCTTGTTTGCGTTCTTCTTAGATATTAGGTTAGTGTGGTAGACTTAAATTAATTACAAAATAGGAAGAAGTCTAACCGGGTGTCATTTGAGCTTAATGTTATGCTAGAATGAGGAGCTTGCTGCTACAAGTTGAGCTTTCTCATGCTCTTATTTTGAAAAGCATATTGGTTTTCAACAAATCTTTTTTCTCAGGTGTAGTGGGTTTATGGATATGGAAACTGACACTAATCCGATAGATCGTTCTGTGGCGCATTTATTGTTTCACCGACCCTCGGATCCGTCTGTATTGCCAGGTAGCAATGCTTCCTCTTCCAAGTCCCACGTCATGGTAAGCTGTGATTAGCTCCGTATGTTCCAGGCAAATCATTTTTTCTTCTTCATTTATCTTTTCCATTTTGCTCATCTGTTCATTCTCAATCAATAGATTCATAGGTCTGTCACCAGTCCACCTGTAAAGAATGAGAGAGACACTGGACAAGAGGAAGCTGTCGCCGATGCGGAAAATGTGTCCTAGGACTGACGCGGATCATGAAGAGGTTTGGCCATTGTACAACATGTACCTATTTTTGGGTGAATTTCCACACGATCGCTGTATAAACAGTACCTGAGGAATCGGGATCTTACTGCATACCCTCTGGGTGTATGTCATGTCGCTACTTGTTTCCGCCGATGTAATTAAGTAAGCTAGGTTGGTTCCCCTCTTACCTTTCTGAGGTTCGGGCTTCCTCTTTCTCCCATTTGAGAATTTTGGTCTTTTAGCTGCATCTCCAATTCCCTACCATGATTTACTGGATCGTTACCGTGAATGTTTTTGCTCGGTCAATCCCGTTACCATGAAGATGGCCAAATAGCGGGCCACTTATCACCCCCGGTTGCAGTCACGTCTTTCGTATTTCCACGTTCGAAGACCAACCCGAATTCAGTAAGCCGGGGAGCTTCCGGATTCGTTACGGACTATAGCTGCTCTTAAGATTAACTAATACGAGGTTCAAATGATTGTCTTGGGGATGTCTGAAGTATATCCTCTTTGCGCAAGTTTTTCTGAGTTTTGCCAAACAGATACCGCGTGAAGCTGAAATTATGCCAAATAAGACTCAAGGGCACAAGCTGTAATGAACAGCAACTTAGAGGGTGCTTGTTTCGCCGCCCGACATTCGGTACCTTTTGCGGCTCCAAGGGTCGGGGCACCGATCATTTTTCGCGACCGATCATTTTCCGCGAACAAGTTCGATCCGTGGAACTTTGGGGAGTAGGTTTTGCTTGCACAATGAATTGGAAGTTAAAATTGGAGGATGCCCAAATGGTCCCACTTGCATGAGTAGGTTCCGTTGTACTGTCATCCGAAATAACTCGAGGACCAAATTGTACACGGCTCGATCCCGCACGACATCGGAAAAATACGCGACTTGAAATTACATTTCCTTTTTCGTTCACCACCTTTAAAAGAACATTATCCTCGCAGAGCATTACTGATCGTGAATGATATCAATTTGCAACTTACTTGAAATGAAAGGGCAAAATTGGAGTCGTTGCGAATTTCGATCAATCGAGGATGGTTTTTTCGACATGCGAGTGTAAAATGAGGGGGTAAATTTTCGCAATTTGGACGAACTTCTGGGCAGGTGAGAAGAAAAATCACAACTTTCTATATGGAGACCAAATCGTGGGTTTTTTCCTAGGTCAATAAAAAAGAAACGATTTTTCGTTGGAACAGTTGACCCAAGAAGGGCCAAAGGCGCACACCGCCGAGACGCATCCGTTGACCAGTCCGTGCGTCCGTCCTTCCATCCTTCCTTCCTCCAAATTCAATCATATTCGATTTCCCTGCTTCGACGATCCATCCATCCATCCATCCAAAACCTCTCTTTCTCTCCCACAACACGAAGAGAGAGAGAGAGAGAGAAAGAGAGAGAGAGAGAGAGATTCCTTCCTTGGGAACGATCGCCGGCGGGCGGAATCGGCGGGCGGTGCAAGGGGGCGCTTCTGGGGTTGCGGGTGGTGGTGGTGGTTCGACATGGACAGGGTGCTGGGCAAGCTGCGGAGCTTGGACGCCTACCCCAAGATCAATGAGGACTTCTACAGCCGCACCTTCTCCGGCGGCGTCATCACCCTCGTCTCCTCCGTCTTCATGCTCCTCCTCTTCTTCTCCGAGTTCAGTACGTCGTCCTTCCCCTCCCCTCCCCTCCCCTCCCCTCCCTCCGCCGGTGTCTCCTCCTGTCTCACGTTGCTGTGAAAGTCGAGGGAATTCGAGTTCGATTCTGATCTGGGTTTTGTTTTTCGCCCCCCTTCGAAGTTCGAAAAAAAAGGAAAAAAAGAGAAGACTTGGAGCTCGCGAGGTGGTTGTTTTAGGTCAGGCTAAGATTAAAAAGTAGATTTTGAGTGCGAATTCTGTGGTTGAGCCCCCACCGTTGATGTTGCCTCGTTGCCCGAGGAGTAATCCAGTTGATGGGTTTTAAGGGTGAAACCTGCTGCCGGCCATTGTGTGTGGAGATAGAGTCAAGACCAGTTGACTTCCAACGTCTGTTGCCCGTTCTTGGAACGGGTTTTGGATAGAACACGGCTGTCGAGTGCGAGAGAGCTGTCGGGCCATTGGGATTTTTGTTCATCTCTAACGTGGTTTTGTTTGCTTGCCCATCTTCTCAGATGCCTTAGCTGTTACCTTCGAGTGCCATTGCTTATACTGTGGAATCTGAATTGGGTCATCTGCTCACCCATTTGTCCTTCTCCGTCATTTTGCAGGACTGTATCTTCATACCGTTACCGAGACAAAGCTACTCGTTGATACTTCAAGAGGGGAAAAGTTGAAAATAAATGTAATTCCCATCCATTTGCATCACATAAAGGGAAAAAAAAGTGTGTTTTGGCACATCCAAAAGTAGTACGTTACCATGTAGTGAAATGAAACACATCTACGAATAAATGTATTTTAAAAATTTTGGTGGCTTCAAGTTCTCAATAATCTTGCCATATTGCGTTGTTCTTGTTGTTGTTTTTGTAATTTTACCGGTTGCCGAGTTTCCATCTGGATGGCTAATATTGGGCTCGTAACTCTTTCCCATCTTTGTAAACATGCAGTTTGATGTTACATTCCCCGCCATTCCGTGTTCATTACTCAGTGTTGATGCAATGGATATCAGTGGAGAGCAACACCTTGATATAGTATGCACTTCTTTGATATATAGTAACTTATAGCTCCTCTTTTGCTACCATGAGACTTGTTTGATTGTTACTGGTTTGCATTCCTATTACCAAAATTTAGACTTTCGCTGTCTTTCTAACTCGTCTTTGATGTTAATTTGTTTTTCTCAGAGGCATGACATAGTCAAGAAAAGAATCGATCCTCAACATAATGTTATCGAAGTCAAGCCTGATGTGATCGGTGCACCAAAGGTGACTACTAGACTTTTTCTTTTTGTGTTAAATTTGGTTGGAACTGTTAAAGTCTTTTGGTAATTCTCACGTCGTGGTATACAGTAAAGTGGACTTGAGACCGGTGATTGTTTTGTTCCCTCTTCTTTTTGGGCTCAGTGGGATTTTTTTCTTGCTTGTCAAACTGTCTGTGCACTAAACCTCAGAATCAACCATTTTGAATGGTCAAATAAACGGATCAAAAATTCAGATTTCCTTTTAACTGCACTTAAGTAATGAAATGATGCTATTTGTAGAAAGAGGCCCAGCATTTTATGCCATGGATTTTTTTCTGTAGCTTCTGTCCACCTGTTTCCTGTTAAACAGCCGGTCAAGTCTGGGTCTGCTAGCTAGTTTTCACTTGAAAGGAACTTTCAGAGCCTGTTGATAGGTCTTTGTATTGTTCACTACCAAATTCTTACTGGTATCTTGCTAAATTGTTCAAGCAATTATTCACACGTGCATTCCTGTTACTTAAGCGGCTCCATTTTTTCTATCTTTATCACATCATTTACTGTAATTGCTGTTTTCTTTAGTAATTTTTCACTATATGTAATTCATGCTCATCTTGTTTCTCTAATTTTTTTAATGCTTCATATGCTTATAGATTATGTTCTTATCCTTCCTTCCTTTTCTAATCACTGGCCTTTTTCTTTGCTCAGATTGACAAGCCTTTACAGAAACATGGCGGTAGGCTTGAGCATGATGAAACGTACTGTGGGACCTGTTATGGTGCTGAAGCGGTATGATGACTAACACTTGTCACTATTATGCACCTCTGCAAGTTGTCTGCAAGTCTTGCTTCTTCTTCTTTTTCCGGTGAAAATGGCTCTGCCATCAGTGGTGTACACTTTGGGGAGGCAATTCTTTGTATCGATTGGATTATCCATGATAGCAGTATCATCCTCTTGTCAGTGTATATATATACTTGGTTGGTTGGCTGTGACAGTTCATATGCTCGTTCTTCTTTTAGGAATCAATAACCGTGTCCTTTTCATATTTTAGTTAGCTTTCTTATGCGAAATGGTTGCCACTTCTACTTTGTTTGAGAAATCTATTTATTTCTGCTTTTATGTTCCAGGATATGTACTGGTGGTGGGCGTATCAATATACTTTGCTTAATTTAGTTGGTAAACATTCATGTAGACCTCATTTTTTTAGCTTTAACACGACCCAAAAGGCTCCAGAGTAGGTCCTCATGTGGTTCTTCCCAAATCATAGTTTGTAACAGGGATTGGATAGGTGCTCATAATATCCCTGTCTCTGGGGTACTAGGTAACTTCAAAGACCCATTTATAGTGGGCAACAGGATAAATGATCTGCTTTGATTTGATCGCATTTGTTTGTCCTTCTCTTTCTTGCACGAAAGTACTACAAATTCTACTTTAAATAATCAAGTGTCAAGAATTTCTTTTCCATGCTGGACTGGGGCTTGGTAGGCGATTCTTACTGCTGACGACCTTGGAGATTGTAGTTCCATTCTCACGTTTTTGTGTCTGATGTTCTCACTTTCTGTCTCATATGCATCCAGTCAGATGATGATTGTTGCAATACATGCGAAGAGGTTCGTGATGCATACAGAAGAAAAGGTTGGGCAGTGACAAATGTCGATCTAATCGACCAGGTTGGTCTGAATTTCCTCTAAGACCCCTGAAATTGTTTGTCTCTTGAAACTCAAGAAATGTAGGTTTTATTACTTTTAAATTGGGAACCAGGTTTATTCACACTTACACCACTGCAACAGGCCATGTGAAATTTGGGCAGACACAGCAATCCTATGTGAATAGCCCATGCTTTTATAACTCCGATTTGGCTGCTCCAAGTACTAGTCGGTCTAGTAAAAGATAGATTGAAGATTTGCTTGCTATTCCCAAATTGCTGATCGCCTGTTTGAACATTGAGTGCCAGTGGCATGTCAAGGAAATACTCTTTTTGTGGGTCAGATATTTGTAACGTTGTACAAGTTTATGTGAAGTTTCTTTTGGAATTACAAATGGCAGTTATGAATATCCCTTGTTCAAATGTAGGGCTGAGTATGTGTGAACCACCGCCCCTTGAATTGTAGACAATAAGATATTTTTTTCACCTCTGACAAATTCTATAGTTGGCGAAGAATTTGTTGATATCTGCAAAATCATTAATTTCCTTGCCTTGCCTAGCTCATTTTTCCAGAGGCTTGTTTAATATGGGATACAGAATCTCAAAAGAGTTTGTACCAAAATTAAAAGGGAAAAATTTAACATGTCATCTGACTAATGATAGCACTGTCCGATTAGCAGTAGAAATGAGAAGGCAAGAACAATGTCTTTGCATTAATTGCGTCAGACAGCCACTTATTCTCTAAACTTAAGTCAACTTTTGAGTTGGAACATCCTTCCATCAGAGCCAAGTTCCAATTTCTTCACCCAAATCAGATTTTACTTCTGTGTGTGGATTTTTTTGGTCTCGTTTCCCCTTCTTCAGTTTCATGTAATGCTCTTCATTTGGTTTGCACGTGAGAAAGTTTGTCAAAGTTAACTTGACATCAGCTGTTTAGGAAATTTATCCCAGATTTATATATGTGCATCCTTTTCTACCTAATGACCAAGCTTTTGGTTGGAAAGTTTTGAAGCTTTCTTATTCCTTATGATGTAGGCTTAGAACCAATAAACATTTGGTGTTGTCATCCTGATGCCTCCTCAAACCTGAGTGTATGGAGAGCTACTTTGCTCCCATATATTTAACTAGTTTATAATGTATATCTTGCTAAGTTCTTTTTTTTTTCTTTGCCATCAGTGTAAGCGAGAAGGTTTTGTCCAAAAAATAAAAGATGAAGCGGGTGAAGGATGTAATATCCACGGATCTCTAGAGGTTAATAAAGTGGCTGGAAATTTTCATTTTGCAGCTGGGAAGAGTTTTCACTTATCAAATTTCAATGTGCAAGATTTGATTGCTTTCCAAACAGAGAGCCACAATGTACGACTCTACACTTACAGGCCTATTCAGTTAGAGGAATTAATCCAGTATTTGTACTTTATCATCCAAATGTTCTGATCAGTGTTGTTTTCATGCTGGATTTTGAATCAGATCAGTCACAAGATCAACAGCTTAAGTTTTGGTGATTACTTTCCTGGTGCGGTGAATCCTCTAGATGGGTAATTTTTTCCTTCTCCTTACCCCACCCAACCCAAAGCAAAAATTAAAGAAAATGGAACTCTCCACACTTTGAGAAACCCTTTTTTTTTTGGGCAATTATGGCATGGCGTGATATTAGGGTTATAAATTGAAGAAATCTGAGGAACTTTGCAGATTCTTAGTGGAATTAGTGTGGAGATTTCTATGTCATACAAACTTTAGGATCTAACTTTCAACATGTTCAATTAATTATTTTATTTTACTTCTTTCCCCTTGTATACCCCCTTATTGTAAAGATGCTATAATTTCCCATTGTAGCATCCATTTACTTGTCTAGCTTTCTCTTTTTCAGTCTTGTCCTGTATGCTTTTGTCTTGACGTGTCTTTGTCAAAACCACCACTAGGTGAAGTGAAACCCTTGAATATTAATAATCTATCCACTCTGTTGGCATCAAAAAAGGATTAGTTCATCTTCTTGGATTGTCTCCTTAGAAAAAGAGGTGAGTCGAGTCTATAGTTGCTGCTTGTGAAGAATTTTCCTCTTGATAAGGTTAAACCCCAAAAGAGGTTGTTGGTACAGCTTGGCTGCAACAGCTATAGCTAAAGGGGGTGACACAACTTTCATAATGTGTTTAAAAACACCTAATTGCTGCATCACCCCCAAGCCATGGCAGTTACAACAACTTTTGAGAAGCTGCCTCATCCGGTCTTAAGGTACCACAGCTTAAAAATATCTATTGCCACATACTCAAGCTACAACATGTCGCTGTTGTAGTCCAAACCCTGTTATACCATTGACTGTTAGCATAGTTGCTATAGTCCTTAATCTAGTCTATCTGGGTCCAGTTTCAACTTTTGAGAAGCTGCCTCATCCAGTCTTAAGGTACCACAGCTTTAAAATATCTATTGCCAAGTACTCAAGCTACAACATCTTGCAGTTGTAGGCCAAACCCTGTTATACCATGGACTGTTAGCATAGTTGCTACAGTCCTTAATCTAGTCTATCTAGGTCCAGTTTCATCTTCATACTGGCTGTGTATGATAGGAAGAAGGAAGTGGAAAGACCTAATTTGTTCTCCCGTTTTAAGAATCTGATTCGTAGGAGAGTGAAGGTAATTGAGCAAAAGTACTACTAGAAACCCACTGAGCAAGAAACAGAGGGACCTACTTTTCTTTTGTTAAGCTCCAATGCCTTGGAGTACAAGTGAATCCTACATGCGGTATAATAATGTTCAATCATTAAAAAGCAGTTTTCTGGAAATCAAGCTAACCTGATGTAATTTGGGGAGGATTTTCTGTTTATATGATCCTTGAACTCGATTTTTTTGTTGACATTTTGCTGCCATTATAGGGTACAATGGGCGCACGAAACACAAAATGGCATGTACCAGTACTTCATCAAGGTTGGTATATTCATATCATCAATATCTTCTGTTTATGCACGACTGTTTTAACTTAGGGTTTCTACTATATCCTTTTTGTTAGATCTACGTAGTGTGGTCTTTTGAGCCCAAAAAGGAAATAAAGAAATTTCTTATGGAAGAGACAACAAAAGCATTGAAAGCGACTAATGACCAATGGGTGCAGGCGATTCTTTTGACATGCTGTCAATAGTACATCTCATTGATTAGAACGTAGATGGTGATTGAAGCAACTGCAGAGGTCAAAAGAGCAGATTCACAAAAAAAATTCAAAAAGCAACTCTTTTGAGTTTGTAACAATTTTGTTTGACAGTGAGTCTAGATATTTCTTTTGAAAGAAACCATCTTAAGTGAAGAAAGGAGTTAATTGAATCAGGACATGAAGTACAACAAAGCAATGAGCTCTGGGAATATACTTGGCAAAACATAAGACTCATCCTATTATGACATCTTACATTGCAAGGTTCTGGGAACATGTAGAGAGTGGTAAACCGACTTTTTGTTGGTATAAGTTCATGCTCTTTTTGTGTGTAAGAAATAATGGAAATAAACAAATGAGTATGGTTCCACGGTTAAGATGAGTTCTAAGCCATTAATTGCGAAAAAAACTTCGCTGAATCTTTAGTTAGTTGCTTCTTCATTTCTGTTTTCTTTCGCTTTTATTTTTAATTTTCAGATCTTCAGTTCATCAACTTTATTGGGTATGCGTTACTTTTCCTTTTGTTTTCCACAATATGTATGCTTTAGTAGTGACGAAAGCATTCAGACATTGCTGAATTTACCAGAGAGTACAGGGAACTTGTTCTCTTCTATATATAAGCGCCGCTATAGTTTTCTTTTTCTGTTCACCTTGGCTTTATTGGTTGACTTTTCTTGATCAGCATGCAACCTAAATACCTATTTTCTCGGCATCACTTTGCACTGCAGGTTGTCCCCACGATATATAAAGATATCAGAGGCCGAACAGTAAACTCAAATCAGGTATATTAAAAGATTGGAGGAATACTTTTCTGCCGATGGAATGTTTGGTTGAACAAGTCTTGATGCACCATTGTTGTTTCTGCACAGTATTCTGTCACCGAGCATTTTAGGAATAATGAGATGGGACGTCCTCAGTTACTTCCTGGAGTATTTTTCTTCTATGATTTTTCTCCAATAAAGGTAATGTCTTCTATTCTCATATTTTATTGGAAGCCTTTCATGACTGTCGAACTAAGTAAACTTTTTGTAGAGATTTGGTTATGGTTTCTATTGCTCTTTCCATTGTAGTCTTGCTTCACTCTAAGTATATTTCAATGCATAGTTTTTGCCACACAAATTACATTGTCATATAAATACCAAAAAAGCTGTAAAAACAAAACAGTTGCATCAGTGTGCAAAGTTTTCAATTAAGTCTACATTTTTCTTAGTTATGATTGTTTCAACATTGTTAAGAATATCATGCGGCAGGTTACCTTCAAAGAGGAGCACATTCCATTTTTGCACTTCATTACCCACATTTGTGCTATAGTTGGAGGTGATCTCTCTCTCTCTCTCTGTCTGTCTGTCTCTCTCTCTCTCTCTCTCTCTCTCTCTCTCTCTCTCTCTCTCTCTCTCTCTATGCGCTCGTGCACTCATGTTTCATTTTAGGCCCAAGGTTGTAAAGGGAAAAGTTAGTTTAGAGAAAAGATTGCACTCGAGGGAATTATTTTTGGGGATTGATCGCATTTTGTCTCAACAGTTTTTCACAATTACATTGGTTTTTCTACGTGCCTGCACAAACAATATAGATTGTTCTAATTTTAATTTGCTATTTGTTGACTTTTACTACCATCCGACTATTTGGAACTATTACACTTTATCCTATTTGAAGTGTTAAAAGAGTGCCCCGTAGAGCTTGTTAAGCCTTATTATTTGTGCTTTGGAAAATTTATTTTACTATTTGAAGTGAGTGACTTTAGTGAAATCTGTAGTTCTTCCTTTTTCAAAATGTCTTAGAAGTGTTGTTTCCATTTTTCGTTAACTTAACTAGGGCCCTAGAGTTCACTTGTTAACAAGGCCCATATTGATATTACCTTCTAAAGTGAGATCCTTTCTTAAGTTATAACTTTTGGTTCCTGGTGCTTGTTTCCCTAAAATTCAAATTTCCATTCAAGTTTTATTTTTCTGTCATTTAATATTAATTTCTTTATTTTCTTTTATTCTAGAGACATTTTCAAATAGACCTCCGTGGTCAGCATCTGAACATAACAGGACTCCCTAATTATGAGCTTGTAGCTTCAGCAAGAGACACCGATAGCACATTTGTATACAACATACAAGGTTGCTGGTTTCAACTACTAAAATAATAGGAGCAATAGATTGGAAAATCGGAGCCATATCATTGGGTGATTTACGCACATAATGTGTGAGAAAGCATGGAGGGAATTCCGAATTTATTTTAGATTTTCTACATGAAATTATGTCAAGTTCTGTTTTTCTGCTAGGTGGTAAAAATTAGTTCTTTGGTCATTGCTTTTTGATTGACTAAAACGGTTTTTTATATGGTTTACGTGGCTCAGGAATATTCACAGTTGCTGGAATAGTGGATTCATTCATCTACCATGGGCAAAAAGCCATCAAGAAGAAGAGGGAGATTGGGAAATTCAGTTGACCCTTTGCTGCTTGCTCTTGTTGACCCAGCGATCTGGTTAGGCCTTGGTGCAGAAGTCGCAAAACTGTTCTATATTACGGTGGAGGGTCATTAAATTGGTGTAACCAATAGGTGTTCATGGTAGTTTACGAGATTTGAGTTTCTATTTTTGTTTCCAGTGACCTCTCCTCCAGTTACACCATTTGCAGGTTGCCTGCAGCGTCGCTTTCCGAGGATTTAACTATGAAAGGGCAAATTCTTTCTTTTATGTGCCTGCTTTCTTGAGTTTCCAGTGTTTAAGTTGCTTTCATCCCTTGGGAGAGACATCGACTTCGTTTTAATCTCATCTTATACGTCGACCTGCACTTCGTGGTTGTTGTGGGGTACGAGAATTATTCAAAGAAAGGAGTGCATCAACTAAGGTTGGGTTGTGGCCGTTTGGAGTTTGTTTGGAGTTTGTCGGAGTGATACGGCGGCCTAACTCCGGCATATGGTGGTCCTAGTGAACAAGAGGGTTGACGACCCTTAAAATGTGTGAGAGTAGAGAAAATGAAGATGACCCTCTCATCCAAATTACAGAACTTGATGATCAGGGACTTTTGGTACCTGACATTTTCCTAAACTTGTCAATGCAAAATAACTAGTTTATCCTAAATTATTCTCATTTGAGCTTGCACTTCAGTTTTTCAGTAACTCTATTGTTTCTTAACTACCAAACACACCCCTTTTATTTGGGCTTGGAATCAGCTTTGAAAGATACATCCTAGCAGAGAAGAGGTTCCCTAGCAGAATGAATCCAAAATGTGACTGATTTGTCAAAGCTAGAATGATGCGACAAATCTGCGAGCGCGAAATCAATAATACATCGCGAAAGAGAAATGTTTATTGCGACGGCTCCGTTGGCTCTGTCACTCGTGATGGAGCTGTTCCTGCCATTCATTACTCATGATGGAGCTGTTCCTGTCATTCATTTTCCCCTCTGGTTTTCAGGAGAAAAAAGTTTTAATACATTGTTCTTTGCACTTAAAAATGAAAGAAAGTAAGCGGGGTTTCTTCGATTGCTCACTCCGTGAAAAATGAAGTAAGTGGTTCTCCTTACACCGTTACTACATGAAAGTGATTGCACCGTCGTGCTAGCATCCGTACCCTATGTTAACGCGGAAATCTAATTGATGGGTATATGGCCAGGCTGCACAATGGCCATGCCAGCAATTTACCTGTGACTTACCAACGAATCAAGATAAGTTTATTCCGAATAAAAACTGCACTAAACATCTTTTGGTAATTGCGACCAATGGAGGAAAAAAATTGTAAATTTATCTGCACCTTCAGAAATATAATATTTGATTGCATAAATCCCAAAGGAAAAAGAATGTAAATCCTGTAAAATTCAGTTGCTCACTGATGACGCTACGTCTACCAAAAACCAGCCTAATTTTTCTCAACAATCACCTCCGCAGACGCCTGTTTGATTGAACTATTTGAAATCCTAGATCTAATGTCCTGAAACTCCACGTTTCGCCTTTCATCAACTGTTAACCATGATAATAGGCACTGGTCGATCAAGTCTTCCCCTTGACTTGGAGGCAGACTTCCTTTTGGAATCCTGATTTTCGAGAATCTTGTAATCCTTGCCAAATTTGCATCGGAGGGTTCATTGGCATATGATTGGAGCATGTCTTTTATGGCCCCACACCAAATCGGTCGCGCTACCGTCAGAAAGTCGTGCAAGGCAAGAACAGGAAGATTAACACTTCCAATATCAGATTCGCTATGTCCCCCTCTTCCATGATAATCAGATCCCCCAATCTTCAAGAGACCATAAGCATCCGTGAGGTCACTGTATGCTGTTCAATAAACAGAGTCAATCAATAGTATATACATGCAAAGCTACTAATATGTTTTTTTTTGGTAAGGTAAAAGCTACTAATATGTTATTACCAACTTTTGCTAAGAACACGCAAATTGCATGCACAAAATTCAAAACTAGTCCCACAGTCTGAACAGTTTCAAACTCTAGACATTGACGTGCATCAATCTTAACACACATTGGGATAACAACCAAATGTCATACTGACTTATCTGAAAAATGGCAAACTGGTTGAATCATTCATAACACCAATATCATCTAAAGGCATAAACCAGAAACTGAGACATAATAGCACCCTAACGGTTAAAAAACTCCATATATTTACCTGCCAATTTGCCATCGCTTCTATAGACTTCCACTCCATGAAGACCGGCATCCTTCAAACTTTTAATAATTGCCACAGGGTTTTTCAGTGCCCATGGATGAGCAAGCACAGCTACACCCCCCGTATCAGATATTAGTCGCACGGTTTCTTCAGCAGGGGGTTCGCTACCTCTGAGAAGATAAAAACACAATCATACTTTAATGTCTGCTAACTGCAAGGCACTTGCCTCTCGAAAAAACAATATTAATCAAAAGAAAATTACACGGCATAAGCAGGTCCGCCGTCAAAAAGGTATCGTGCAAAAGCTTGTTTTAGATTCTCCACATGACCTGCTTCAACCAAAGCACGAGCCACGTGCAGTCTTCCTGGAGCAACATCCTTGCCAGCAATCCTAGCAACATGCTCCCACTTCAGAGGTAGCTTAAGCTTATTCAGCTTTGAAACCATGTTCTTTGCCCGGAGAAATCGACCATCCCTTATGTTACCCAAGACCTTCTCCAACTCCTCAAGCCTTGTGGGTCCACAGCTACTGTAATAAGCAAGAATGTGCACTGGTTCCTCCATAGATGACTCTTCTCTATAGATTTCATCACCCAGATGTCAGATTAAAGAAACAAAAAAATGAAAATTGCATCAACAAAAGGCAATGATCATTATAGCTTTATCAGAATTACAACCACCAAGTAACCAATGGATTATAATCTCAAATGTGATGGCAAGCAACACTAACTACTAAATAAAGAAAGTAAAAAGTTCAGTAATCATTGGCAAGATTTGTCTGCTCTTATTACGATGCACCAAAATTAATCATTATGTAGATCTAACAAATAGATGTCCCCTCAAACTTTCCATCAACCTTAAGTCAGAAAGCAGGAGTAGCACCTTGAATTGAATATGGTGCTGATTTCAACGCCCGGAATAATCTTAATGCCAAATTTCCGAGCTGCTTCCAGAGCTTCGGGGATACCCGATAAAGTGTCATGATCTGTCAGAGCAAGAACTTTCACCTGTTATGAGTACATTGTACGAATTAACTTGTGCTACCCAAAGAGCATCAACAGCAGAAGCAACAGCTAAACGCATCCACAGAAAATATAAACATCAGTAATACAAGTCAAGCCTTGAGAGTTGCTCGCGAGTCATTTTTAATTAAGCTCTCTTTTCTGTTTTCATGATAAGAGGACCTCTTACTACACACTGGATGTCTACAGAATGCAGAGAAGCTAATAAAACATAAAGCTAGTAAAATTTTAACTGGAACAAAAAGAACAATTACAAAAACTTGCAAAAGAGAGCCAAAGTCCTCTCCGATAAATTAGGTGATGGCTTTGGAAGTTAACAAAGTTAAGTTTATTCAATAATTACAACTTCCATATTTAAAATCCTCGAATCTCTTATTACCACCAATCCCCCCTCCCCCACCTCAAGCTTTTGCACGAGCCTGTAACTAACTTCAGCATGATCAAAATCAGAATAGATTTTGTTGGTTCTGAATACCAAAGCCGAATGGCAACGACAGTGAGGAATAGGTGATTAACTGACTCACAATCTCTTCTACAGTTGGAATAACATCCAACTATAATCACCTTCCTCTTATATATACATATTAATAATTGTATCTGATAACATGGAGGAGTAAAGTTAACTTTAGAAGAGAATAAAAAACTTTCTGATCTGCTCTTAAGGAAGCTGGAATTGCATGAAACTTCAAAAACCTCAAAAAGGGCCGGAAAGTAAACACACACCTTTTCTTAGATTTCATATCAGCTTCTCTTTATTAGCACCCTGGATTCTCAATCCATTCAATTTCTAAGTCAGTTGAAATGTGGATCTCTTAAAGATCCTGGAACAGTGCAAAAATTTGGACCCAAAGCAAACATCCGTCATTTCACCTTAAGAACATTGGCTCCAATCCCATCTTTATAGAAAGAAATAAGGAACCAGTCTAAAAGAGGGTTTTTAAATGCTGGAAATTACGACGTCTACCAAACCAGAACATTGCTTTTCTCCCATCACCCGTAGTGAAAGTGGTGCTGACCCTTCCTGATATAATTCCAACCTACCAAATCTTAAGAACACCAATTTGTATAGCCTTGTTCAATAGTTTACTTCATAATTAGCTTACTTTTCTTCAGCAAACCTCCGAAAGCATTCAACAAAAAGAGTGGATTAATTAAAAAAAATGAAACTTTCTGACACCACTCCTCATTCGCAGGATTCCAAGAAACCAAATGCTTTTGGACAGACAGCTTATCCAAATAACTTTCTAGAAACTTAATAGGCCCCTCACATGAAAAAATTATACGACGCATGTAACTCCACTAGTACTTCTCACGACTAGTACATGTCTCCTTGTGCATAAACATACGAGTTTCATTGATCATCTGAATCTTGTATCAGAGCAGAGGTCAAAAGTTTGAATCATGCCATTGCCTCTTAACCACATTAATTCATCTCCTTAGAATGGTGGTGTTATTATCTCCTATTGATTGTTTGAAGCGGCTGTTTTCACGCCCACATCCTGCGTGAAGTCTGGTATACAAGCGATGGGGAGTATTAAAAGATGGACTCATTTCCCAACACTCGAGCTTTTGGGCAAAAACAGTTTCTAACAAAATGTACCATCAATATGTATTGCAAGTGAAAAGGAAAGACAGCTAAAAGAAGATTAAGAGCAAGAATCAGGTTTGGTTTTACTCTTAACAGTTTGAGGTACCCTCCATTTCTGCGAGCCACTGAACTGAGAAGATACACGACGAAAACACCAATCTACACATTCCTCTGTTCCTCTTAATCTTTTTTCGGATGAACACACAGCTTCAGATTTTTAGATAGAATAACCTTATCAAAACATCTCAATCCCCAAAAGCATCCCTTCAGAGATTGCACAAATAGAAGGGCTACAGAAAACAAAACATTTAAGGAAAAAAACACTGACCCCATTGGCATGAGCTCGCTCGACGAGCTTGGAAGGAGACAAGTAGCCATCGCTGCACTTGGAGTGGCAGTGCAGCTCGAAGACGACCCTCTGCCCGGCGCTCTTCTGAACCCCAAAGTCATCGACCCACTCGCT